GCCACGTGAGTGTTTGGGCCCAGTATGAGCCCCTTTAAGACTGTAAAACCTGAAACTTGTCCTGTGTGAGGAACAGAAGGATTTCTCTTAAGTTATCGCCCCAAAATATGTACCAGACTTAGCTGCTTAAGAATGACTGTACAATAGGTGGTCAGCAAAAGTAGGTCAGAGGTTATTCTCCTTAACATCAGCCATCTTTTGGATCCACCATCCACGGGTAAAACTGTGGAAGCTGTCTCAACCAGCTGTGACTAGACTATTAGTCTGACTCACCCTAAATAAGACCCACTCTCTTCTGATAAGGATAGTGGTGGTCTGTTTATTTGCAGGAGATACCAGAGAGGGCAAAGCTGCCCAAGGGTGACCAAGGTTAGGTAGCCATTATCAGCTGTCTAGATCAAGCAGACACCACTGTGTGCCCACAACAAATGTGGGCACACCCCTAGGTCATCACCCTCTTATTGATTGTATTGCCTATGTCGTTACCCCTCCCTGTGACTTAGGTTATTGTCCGCTATCAGGGGGCTTGCATGCCTCCCAGAATAGTAGTTGTCGGTTTTATTATATGAGACATCAGAGTGATCAAACTTGTTCTAGAATGAATTGTATTGCCCCTTTCTGTGATGTATGACTCTGTAATCAGATTCCCCTAAAGTAATATGATGCATGGTTAGCAATAAATAATGAGGCTCCCTGGTTCTCGGGAGGGTGGCTAGCTGAGGGTGGCTGAAGGTGGCTAAGGGGGACGAGGCAGCGGCTTCTTCTCTGATGGCTAAGCCCCCTCCACGAGGACCATCAGAGCTGAGGTGAGCAATGCTACCATGAATTGCATCTGACTCCATTACTTGACTCCATCCTTTAACTCTCATGCTCTCTATGACTTTACTATAATCTCTACTTATTATCGCTGTACAATTGTGCCTACCGAACCTGTGATGTTTTGTGGGGTTCCCTCTTCCCTTTAACCCCATAGTCCTGTCCTTCCTAAAAACTCACTTGGATTACAAAATGGGCTTCAGTGTGAATTCTTTCCTCATGCAAAGCCAAGAACCAAGGCATTACCGACTTCAGAAACCTAACAGTACAGCCATTGCTGAAAACAGATTCTTCAAAAAGTTCTAGATGTACAGCTGCCATAAAGCCAAAAATCCAAAACCACTACTGTCTGCTCAGTTTGATTCATAATGACTCTATAACCCAGTAGAACTGACCCCATGGAGTTTTGTGGGGGACCAGTCTCCCCACAACTGAATGGGTCCAAGGGGTGTCCAATTCTTTTGCATTGAGTAATTTAAAGAGACATCAGACCAGATAAAGCATGCAAGTGCTCACCTTCACAGTCTTAACTTCATGAGCCAGGCCTGCACAAAGAGAGCGTGATTTAATCTTGTGAGTTTATATAATCTCAGGTACACAGGCCACTGTAAGCACAGTAATAGGAAGAGGTTGTACCATAGGCATCATGCAACAGGAGGGGCACAAACTAGGGGTGTACATGCAATAGGAAGGGGAGGCACTAGGGGCACACATGTGACAGGAAAGCATATAGGTAACAAGATGGAAGGACTTTAGAGTCAAGATGGCAGCCTAACCTTGGTTGTCTGACTTGGCTTGACCTTAGGTGTCTTGGGCTCTCCTTCAGGGGAACAATCCATTATCCTTCTCAGAAGGGAGTGGACCCTACTTAGGATGGGACAGACAATAGGGTCTGATTGACTTAGGTGGCTGACAACCTTCAAGCAGATGACCTCCCAGTGTATAATCAGTGACCACGTGTTTGCAGACAGCACTTTAAATTTGGCATTATTATGGGGGGACATCATGGGGAATAACTTATACTTAGGAGAATATGAGTGAGATCTATCTCCAACCCACGAAAATGAAGGTTTCCTCCATGGGAGCCTTGGCCTTCCAGACTCCTTGATGTCTGAATGTTGAGAGTTTGTCTACATACACTTTCTTCCCAGATGTTTCCCACAGGGTTTCTAAGGCTGTAAATCTTTACAAAAGCAGACTGCTTTTTTCTTCCACAGAGAAGCTGCTGGGCTCAATCCCACCAACCGTTTGGTTAGCAGCCAAGCACTTAACCACAGCACCACCAAAGCTGCTATATGACCCAATAATTCCACTCCTAAGGAGTGAATCTAATAGAGCAGCACTATTTGAAATAGCAAAAATATGAAATAATCCACAATGATGAGTGCATAAAGTGTGGTACATCTATACATGGAAAATAAGTTCCTAAAATAACTTACAATGTGGATTGACCTGGAGAACATTATGTTGCACTAAATAATTAAATTGAAAAAATCAAGTATTATGTATCTCACTTTTAAGAAATGTCATTAACCTATAAATATAGAGAAAAACTAATGCTCACTCGTGACTACCAAGTATGGGGTGGGAAGAGGAGGATTCACTTTCTAGATAATAGATGATTCTTATTTGTGAAAGGCAACCCTAAATGATAGCAAAGTGTGTACAGCTTGATGAAGGTAAATAATGTCACTATGTTGTATACAGCCAAAAATGAACCTTTTGGTAATTGTAATGGTATATATAATTGTCAATAACAACCAAAAATATATGTGTAGGTATATATGGAAGCATATATGATGTATATCTACATATGTATATATTCATATCTACCAGTGAATTTATATAATAAAGCACACAGGGTGGACAGTTGTGGGAATTTCTTAGACATGAGCAAACACCTTATGATTGATCTCCTGGGTTTGAAGGCTTAGAACCATAGACTTGTGAGATAACTTGGTCAACTGGGATAATATACTTTATAAAATTTATGTTTAGATTGTGGACTTCTAAGACACAACACGTGGTCTCCATGTGTCTGATAAAAAGCGAGAAGAAAACAAGACTCAAAGAAGAAAGCAACCAGTTTGTGATATTAATAATCTACATGAACCACAACCTTGTCTACCCTGAGACCAGAAGACCACCTGGGCCCTGGCCTGGCCACCACTACTGATCATTCTAAAATGGGAGACAACATGGAAAAGAGCCTCGAATTCACTTAAAAATCCAGACTAATGGAACCAGTGGAAATCTGGACTCCATAAGACAATCTTCCTGAGATACTCTTTAATGTTTCATCGTTGCTACACTGCACTCTGACTGGCTTGTCTCCTCCTCGCATCATCCTTCCTCCTGAGCATTCTGACTGTACTTCTGCCAAGAAATGTGTTTATTCCTCTGCCTGCCCATGGTATATTCAATATTCTTCATCAACACCATAATTCTAAGGCATCGATTTTTCATTGTCCAGTTCATATGCATGGCTTGAGTCAGGTGTACCGTGGTCCTCAGAGTAGAATCTTTCTTTGTAACACTTTAAAGAAGTCTCTGAGGAAGCAGCTCTTTTCCAGTAGTATTTTGAGTGCCTCCTAACCTAAATAGCTCATCTTCCAGCATGATCTCAGATCATATTCTGCTGCTATTCATGAAGTTTCATTTGACTTCTTTTGGAGAAGTAAATAGTGAGGTCCTTCTTACTGGTCTTAGTCTGAAAGTTTTGCTGAAATCTGTCCCCCTCATGTGAACGTGCTGGAAGTTTAAATACAAGTAGATAGCTTCTAGCAGCACAGCAAAGCACAAGGCACCATAGTATGACAAATTTACCAGGTGAGTGATGGTGTTATGCTTTAAATGTTAACATGGTTTTAATGTTTTTGGTTTTGAAATGAACGATATCAAACAACATTTGAATTTTTCACTTTTAATTTTCTTCATTTTAGGCTTTCGAGTTTTATTCTTGGATACTCTTACAGTATTTGGTGATTCCCATGCAAGAAGGGAGTCAGTTCTACAGTACAAACATTGGAAGAAAATACCGTATTTACACACAGAGATATAGGTAATCCTATTTCCCATTTCAGTGTAGGGGTTATGGGTGTGGCTTTGAATCCTGCCTGTCAACTCCTTTTTTTGGTCAACTTTTTTGTCACCTGAGACAAATTTCTGAGCCTTGATTCTCATGAAATTCAAGATAATATCTTACCTTTCAGGAAAAATGTTTTGTGAAGAAAAAAATAATTTATATTAAGCGCTTGTCTAGGAATTGCTCAAAAATGACAACTATTATTAGGTTTCAAAATTGTTTTCTTAGCAAATGACAGTGTCACTGATACAGCAGCCTAATAATGAAATCCTTACCAAAGTACCAATATTGTACCTTTAATATGTATTTTTTCTATTCTCTATTAACTTTTTTGTTCCCCCACCGCCACCCCTGCTCTTATGGCATATTGATTTCACTTGTCAGCTATTTGGGTTGACAAGTGGGCTTTCAATCCTTTCGAGATCAATCATTCACGCATCCTTCCATTCATTCACTCATCCAAATTTGGTGAATATTGGGGGCTGGGCATGAATTACAACATCGACGCCATGGCACTGTTTGTTTTGGGGGAGAGGGGTACGAATCACAGGGCTGGGCACTGGGGGTGTACAGCGGTTTTCCAAAGTTCCTGCCCAATGGGGCTTTCCTGTTTAGGGTGCGAGCAGGAAAAATAAACATGCAACGACATAACGGGCCAGGGTCCCAAGAGGAAAATGACCAACAGCCTGGGGCAACCAACCTACACCTTGGACGCTACCCGGCTGGACGTGCAGTTTCGCAGCCGCGTGGTGCCAGCCAGACGTGAGAAAGGAGAACTGGCTGCGGTGACATCTGTGGCCGAGACTACGAGTGTGGCGACGCTTTCTCCGCACCAGAGTAGAAGCGGAAGGAGGCCTCCTTCATCCTCAGGAGGGGTCTTCGCGGTCCTGGGTGGGCAGCGCGGGGCGGGTGCGGAGTCCTCGCGCGTGGAGCGGCGGGCCTCCGGGCAGGGCGGGAGCCGACCACGCTTCCGGCCGCGCGGCGCCTCACGGAGAGCCCCGCCCCCTCCTCGCTCTCCGAGTCGCACGCGCGGAAGTAAACACCCTACGTCATCAGAGAGCGTCTCCGCCTTTCCCCGCCCATCTTCCCGGACCGCTGGACGTGCTCGCCTCTGCTCTGGACCAGGTCTATGTCCCGGTTTCCCGCCGTCGCGGGCAGGGCGCCAAGGCGGCAGGAGGAGGGTGAACAGTCAAGAGACCCCCAGGAAGAGCGAGCCTCAGCCGTATCCATCGCTGACAGAGGTGCGGTCCGCGGGACCCCACGGGGACCCCTGGGAGTTTCAGCGGTGGGGGGTGGGGGGAGGATGAAAGTCCGCCTTTGCTTGGCACTGGAGAGCAGGTAGAAGGATGAAGCATACTCCTTGTCTTCCTAGTCCTGGGCGAACTTTGCGTCCAACGAGCACTTTGGCTTCGTGGGGGGACGGGTCCCAGACCCAAGTTGAATGAAAACTGCTGGGGGGTAAAAGAGTGAAACCTACGCCTGGAAACGTTGTGTTCTTAAAGAGGCTCATAAAGCCTTTGTTCTCTACCCACTCACCGCCCACCCCCCCCTCGTCGGGCCGCCAGCCTGCCTTTGGGTACTGTATGAAGGGAGCCAGTTTCCAGGAGCCAGTTTCCATGGTTACCTACCACTTGGCCTTCTGGGATATCAGTCACTCCGAACAGGGACCTAACTTGAACCATGAATCAGAAGCAAACACAGGTGTCTTTTTATTCAGTGGAGAGTTTTCTGGTGGTGGTGGTCCACATTTTGATCCATTTCTGTGTGGAAAATTGTGTGGGTCTTGTGCCTTTTTGTGAATGCGGATGTATGTTGTATGGTACAAGACCTTCCTTGTAAGTCGTCTAAGTCACGCATTAACAATTCAAGTTGTTAGATATCATTTGAAAGTTGTTCTAGGCATATAAAGTTCACTTACTAATTAGACATGGATGATTTTAAAGAGAAGTCGGGGATTGACACTTTCCAGACTTTAAATTATGTTGTGTTTTGTTTTCAGTTTATGGAAACTTAAGTCACAGATATCTTTACAGCCCTTTTAATTGGTGTGATTGTTTTTCTGTTATCACAGAAGAGAAAGGATGCACATCACAGGAAGGAGGAACTACTCCAACTTTTCCTATTCAGAAACAAAGAAAAAAGCTTATTCAGGCTGTGAGGGACAATTCATTCCTTATTGTTACTGGAAATACAGGAAGTGGTAAAACAACTCAACTCCCAAAATACCTATATGAAGCAGGTAATTTTATTCTGGAATAATCCTGGCAGTAGTTTCCGCATTCATTTATCAATCTTTTTAAAGATAGGTAGAACTTCTGTATTGTGCAAGCACCCACAGAAACATCTTTACCTTGTAGTATGTGAGAAATAAGAAATAGGGGGAAAATGAGAAGCTGATACCAAGAGCTCAAGTAGAAAGAAAATGTTCTGAAAATGATGATGGCAACAGATGTACAAATGTGCTTGACACAATGGATGGAAGGATGGATTGTGATAAGAGTTGTACGAGCCCCCAATAAAATGATTTGAAAAAAGAAATAAGAAATAGTTCAATTTTTTAAAAATTAGCTGAGCAGTCAGTGCTATCATTTCCTATTGCTTCCTGCCCAATTATTAGAACACCCTTACTTTGTCTACCTTGGTTCTATGGCCTTATTTCAGATTTAATACAATTATTTCAGATTTAAGTCATAAAGACTTAAAATGGCCGATTTTTAACTCTATAATAATCCCAAACAGGGAAAATTGCAGGTAGATATTATCTGTTTGTTACCAAATCAGTAGCCTGTGTAGCAGACTATGAACCATTGAGTGTTGCAATGATACTGAAGAGAAGGAGGATACATTGATGTCTGTTGCTGGCTTTAGTAATTCTTGGTCTCTTCTCCAGAGCATCACCAGGTAAATATTGTTCCCTGGCCCTGTTAGAACCAAGCCTTTAGGCCGCCTTTCCCTTCAGTGTGGCAAACATCTCCATCATAAGACAAAATTATATTGTGTTTGACTCGTTAAACTAAATGTATTTTTTAACTTGTTAACTTGTTCAAATGCATCACATCTAAATGCCTTGTCTTAAGATGCAGTGCTGTTTTATAAACCATCAAGGAAAAAAATGCGATGAATTGTAAGTTGAACTCTAGGGTTATTAACAAGTAAAGACTTGATGAAAGATGGTATTTTTTTAAACCCTGTATTACTTCAGTAACAGAGGTACATTTGTTTTAGGAAGTGTATGGAATTGTATGGATTCTTAGGGAATATAAAACTATTAGAAGGATGGCAAAGAGTAGTCTCATGTGCTTTAGGACATGTAATCAAGAGAGACTAGTCCCTGGGAAAGGACCTCATGCCGGGTCAAGGGGAGAGTGTGAAAAAGAGGAAGATGAACAAGGAGATGGGTGGACACAATGACTGCTACCGTGGGCTCAACCCTAGCAGTGGTTGGGAAGGTGGCACAGAACCAGGCAGTGTTTCTTTCTGTTGTGCACAGGGTGGCTAGAAGTAGGAATCAACTCAGTGGCGCCTAACAGTGGTAGCAAACGCCACC